GGGGGAGGGTGGCCTGCAGGGGTCCCTGGGCTGAGGGGTGGAGGATGGCCTGCAGGGGTCCCTGGGCTGAGTGGGGGTGGGTGGCCTGCAGAGGTCCCTAGGCTGAGGGACGGAGGGTGGCCTTTCGAACGTGCTGCCAGGTAGGTGCGTTTCCTGGGTGCTCCAGGCACTAGCTTGTCCCCATGTGTGCACCCCTTTACCGGTTAAACTCCCCCCACCCCTGGCAGCCAGGATCACGTCCTGCCAGCAAGGAGGCTCTGCCTCTCCAGATCAATGACAAAGACAGTGCCCACAGCTACCCTCTGGCATCACACCCGACACCACCTCCAAGGCAACAGTGGGTGTGTGGAGCCCCAACCACTCCCGCCTCGTTTGGCGAGTCGGATGTCCTCTTCTCCACCGGCATTTGTGACTGACAGCAGAGGCCGTGGAGTTGAGCTCGACCTCAACCCGTCTTTTGAGTAGCTGTCCCATTTCTCTGTGGAAAACGTCCTTCCATCAGAAGTAAACCTCCTATAGCCAAAGATGGGAGCTGTTTCCACAGGGCTTCCATCACTGGCTGCAGGGCTGCGCCTGGGTCTTTGCGGCACTGCCTGTGCCTGCGCATGTCTCTGGGACCAGCACCTTGTTGACAGGGCTGAGAAATCCAGAGGAGACACTCTGAGTTCCTCCGAGAACCCACAGCCCCAATGCCAGGAACCTCAGGAGAACCGGGGTCACGGGCATGGAGTTCTGCCCAGCAGCGTGCTGGCCTGTGGTCAAGCATCCCTCACTCCCCCACCTTCGTGTTCAGTTCTATTCGGTAAACTGAGGCACAGCCTCGGGCCAGGTGGGGCTTCCACCCGGGCTCAGGACCCTCTCTGGGAGGGGTCTGGGCGGATCGCGGAGGTGGGGGGGCGGCTCTTCACTGGGGTCTCCGTCCTCTTCATTTTAGAGCAGGGGCCGGCCAGCCTGGTCTTCCCAGCTGCGGAGACAGGGGCTGGCGTCAGCGGGAGGCCCCCGCCCCCGCCCCTGTACGCTCCCCTCTCTACGGGATTTTCTTGGGGGGCTTCTCCGGGAACTGCAGGGAGTACAGGTGGGCCATGTACTGGAGCTCGGGCGTCACCAGCCGCTGACACACGCGCTGCGTCCGGTTGTCCAGGCCTGGCCTGAGGTTGTAGCCCAGGATGTCGACCGCGCCGGGCTGGTACGGGCGCAGGCCCGGGTCGTGGATCTGCGTCCGGTTCTGGGGCGCGCCGCCGTCCTGCAGGCACAGGACGGCGAGTTCGCGCCTCCGCGCCCGGAGCCGCGCCACTTCCCCGCGCAGCCGCCGTGGGCCCAGCTCGGCGCGCAGCTGCCCCCAGAGGCTGCGGTTGAAATGCTGGTACAGGCGCCAGTCCAGCGCGCACCAGCGCTGCGCGCGCTCCCGGGTCTCGGGCGCCAGGCGGGTCACGGAGCGCGCGCTGCGGGAGTTGAGCCTGAAGGCCACCACGTCGTCCAGCGCCCAGCGCAGCCGGCGCCGCAGCAGCACCAGGGACTCGTCCAAGTGCTCGGCAATGAGCACCAGCTGGAAGCGCTGCTCCACCTCCGCGATGCGCGCGCGCATGTAGCCCTCCTCGGCCGGCGCGTTGGGGTTGAAGCCGAAGTCGAACCACATGTTGTTCTTGGCGTAGACGTCCCTGAGGAGGTGGCTGTCGTTGTAGAACGTCTGCGGCGAGGCCAGGAAGGCGTCCAGGCTCGGGGCGCGCTGGAAGGCGGGCGCGTAGGCTTTGTAGTAGATGAAGGAGGACTCCAGCTGGAACACGGGGTTTCTCAGGATGGAGAAGTAGAAGGTGTCGTTGGGCATGACTTTCTGCACCTGCGTGGGGACCGAGAGGCGGGCTGCAGGCCGCGGGCCGGAGCAGGGTGGCCCACCTGCGGGGAGCAGGCGCGCCCTGGCCACACCGCCCAAGCAGCCCCCCATCCTCACATCTGCGGAGGGACCTGGGCCGGGCGCCTCCTAGTGCGGCAGCTCCGGAAGCAGACCAGGGCCACATGCAGGCCCTGCAGCCCAGTCACTGGTGCCCGGGTGCCCACAGCAGGGGCCAAGGACGCCAGGAAGGGGCCTCAGGAGGAGGAGGCCGTGGGCAGAGCGGGAGGCGGGAGGCGGGAGAGGGAGCTCCCATTGGCATCTGGCGGCAACCCAGAGGCCTCAAAGGGCGGAATACCGTGGTGCACAGACACCACACGAAGGGCCCTCCACGGGCCCCTGGCACAGGGGACCTTCAGCACTCCACCAGCTGCCCACAGGCCAGGGTGACACCCACCTAACAGACAAGGAAAGTAAGGCCCGGAGAAGCCCGGTGACCCAGGTTCCCCGCAGGGTGAGTCTGGACTCACCTCCTCTTGTGCCCCCTCAGAGGTCCCGGAGGTCATACCCCACCGACAGAAAGTAAAGTCATGCAAAAAATCACGCCCAACTACACGGTCTGCTTCTCCATCCTCAGAAACCCTGCGTGATGGGAGGCCTCCTCTCCTCCCTGCCCCTACCTTCTTCCTTTCCCCCTCCTCCCAGACCTTCCTCTTCCCTCTGCCCCAAGGCCCCCACCCCACAGCACACCCAAGCTGCCCGGCTCTGCCCGTCACCACCTGGTCTCCCTCTGGCCGCACCTGAACACCTAGCCCCTGCTGGCCATTTGCCACAGAGCGCTGGGGTGCCCCTAAAATACGCGTGCCTGCCCACAGCCCTCCCACCCACACTCCCTGCCCTGCTTCCTTTGTAAGGAAGATCAGGGACGGCCTGGGGGAAGGCCAGCTCTATGCTGAGAACCCAGGGACTGGAGGGGGTCCTGCAACCACAGGCGTGAAGGTCATAGGGTGAGGAGAGCTGGGCCTGTGCAGAAGCAGAGGGGGCCAGAGAAGGAAGGCGCTGGGGACGCCCTTGGGCAGGGGCTGTGGGGCTCTAGGTCTCGTTCCAAGAGCAACTGCAGGCGACAGACCGCCTGGAGGGGCGGGGGTTGGCTCAGCTGGGTTTGTGGTCCAGGCCCTCCCCATTCCTCTCTGCATGCCCCGCCCCCAAGCCTTACGCCACTTCCCTCCAGCCTCCAGGCTACACCACCCTACCCCACAACCACAGTCAAGGCCACTGCCGGCCCTCCTCCCCGCAAGCCCCACTCTCCTCCCCGCAGGGCCTGCCTTCCTCTCCACAGGCCCCGCCCTCCTTACCCGCAGGGCCTGCCTTCCTCTCCACAGGCCCCGCCCTTCTTACCCGCAGGGCCTGCCTTCCTCTCCACAGGCCCCGCCCTTCTTACCCGCAGGGCCTGCCTTCCTCTCCACAGGCCCCGCCCTCCTCCCCGCAGGGCCTGCCTTCCTCTCCACAGGCCCCGCCCTCCTCCCCGCAGGCCCCGCCCTCGTCCCCTGCAGGGCCCACCTTCCTCTCCACAGGCCCCGCCCTCCTCCCCCGCAGGGCCCACCTTCCTCTCCACAGGCCCCGCCCTCCTTACCCACAGGCCCCGTCCTTCTCCCCACAGGGCCAGCCCTTCTCCCCACAGAGCCCGCCTTCCTCCCCCGCAGGGCCCACCCTCCTCTCCACAGGCCCCGCCCTCCTTACCTGCAGGCCCCGCCCTTCTCTCCCGCAGAGCCCGCCCTCCTCTCCCACAGGCCCCGCCCTCCTTACCCGCAGGCCCCGCCCTTCTCCCCACAGGGCCCGCCCTACTCCCCACAGGGCCCGCCTTCTTCCCCGCAAGCCCCCCCTCCTCCCCGCAGGCCCTGCCCTCCTCCCTGCAGGTGCACCTCAGGCAGGTTGAACCTCAGGTGGTTGCACATGATGTTGAATCGCTGCTGCGACGCTACGCCTTCCACGTAGCGCGCCAGGAAGAACCAGGGGTAGCCGAGGTGGACGTGCCGGCCGGCGGGCAGAGCCACGGAGAGGTTGTGGGTCTCCGCGAAGCGGTAGAGGATGTTGAGCACCGTGCTGCTGGCCGTTTTGTGCGTCTTCAGGAACATGATGTTGGTGACGGGCGGCCCCTTGGCCTGACCCCCAAACAGGCTGGGAGGGAGGGCACACGCCACGTCAGCAAGGGTGCAGATGCCCCGACCCATGCCCAACAGCGACCCCTGGCCCGACAGACCCAAAGAGAGACCTTCCAACCTGAGCCCCCAACTCTGGGCTGGGGGCCCACTGGGTAAGCACCAACCCATGGCCCCAACCCTTGCCCCACTCCACAGCCTCCCATCCGGTGGCCTGAACACACACTCCCCCAGGTGTCTCCCATAACCATGCTTTCCCCAACCCTGTGCCCCTGAGAACTAAAACCCCTAACGCTCCCCCAATTGACTAAAAAACCCCCTATTGGCCAAGGGGGCCCCAGACACACCTTAAAACTGAGCCCCCAGCAGTGATGGGATGGGAGGTCAGACACCTCACTCATCACAGCCCCTCCCTTCTGCGGTTTAGACACAGCAACTGCCCAGCGTGAATGTTAAAACAGAGACATCATGGAATACTATGCTGCCAAAAAAAGGATGAGCTCGTGTCCTTTGCAGGGACATGGATGACGCTGGAAACCATCATCCTCTGCAAACTAACACAGGAACAGAAAACCAAACACTGTGTGTTCTCACTCATAAATGGGAATTGAACAAGAATACATGGACACACGGAGGGGAACCGCACACACTGGGGCCTGTCAGGGGAGGTGTGGAAAGGGGAGGGAGAGCATTAGGACAAACACCTAATACATGCATGGCTTAAAACCTAGATGACGGGTTGATGGGTGCAACAAATCACCATGTATACCTATGTAACAAACCTGCACGTTCCGCACATGTGTCCCAGAACTTAAAGTAAAATTTTAAAAAAGATTTTTTTTTTTTTTTTTTTTTTTTTTTCACAAAAAGAGACCATAGCCTGGCAGAACCGACTGTGGCCCTAAGACACCAAATCCTCAGCAGGACCCAAGGCCACGCAGGCAGGGGCTTCGTCCCGCACACCGCACTTAACGCAGAAACCAGGTTCTCCCTGCCACAGGGTTCTCTTTTTCTCTGGCAGCCAAACACTGGCCTTGAGATGAGCAACGTGAACCCAGGTGCAGCTCAGCCCCTGCCAGACGCGCCTCACTGACCCCTGCTCCACTGGCCACAACCGCAGCTGCACTGGGACAGGAGCCGAACAGCAGCTGTCTCCTGAGCGAGGACCCCTGGCCCGGCCTGGTTCTGGCGGTTTAGAGGCTGCACATCGAGGGCCTCCCGTCCCGGCTTCACCTGTGACCTGCAGGGCCTCATTGTAACACGGTTAGATGTGAATTCTCCACCCCAAGGTGAATGTGGGTCACATGTACCATACCAGTTTGTTCAGGGCAAGTATGTCAGGACGGTTTTGTGAATATTCGTGGGGCCTCCTGTCACCTGCTGAACCTGTACTTGGTCAAGCTGTTCAGAGTAAGCCTCTGTCCCGTCCACCCCAGCCCTGTGAAGTATCCACTCACAGTCTGTGTCAGCTGCTGTGCTCCCAGCCTGTGGTATGCCTGCACTTTATAAGAAACAAAGTCTCCTCTCCAAATTTATAGATGTCACGATTCTTTAGTTGACATCCCCAACCCTGGAATCCAAACCCATACTACCTATCACTGTGTCCCCAGCCCGGAGACCCTCAGCCCCGGCCTTGGGGACCCCCACTGAGAGAACATCCCCAGACCCATCACTGTGCCCCCAACCTAGAGACCCTCAGCCCCGACCTCAGAGCCCCCAGAGAGACAGTGTCCCCAGACCCATCAGTGTGTCCCCAACCTAGAGACCCTTGCCCCGGCCTCGGGGGTCCCCATAGAGACAGTACCCCCAGACCCATCACTGTGCCCCTCAGGAGCTACACCATCTGCCCCACATGTCACCCCAGCCTTCTCCCTGGCTTCAGGGTGCCGGCATGCTGCTGGCTCTGTGACCTCAGCCACACATGCAGTGCTTCTTGGCTGTCCCTTCACACCAGGAAAAGGAAGGACTCCAAAGCTGAGACCAGCAGCCAGATGTGGGGCTGGAGTGGATGCTGGGCCCACTCCTGGGACCCCATCATGACACCCACCCCGTGGGCCTGGAGTAGCAGGTGCCCTCCCTGCTCCGGAGCAGGGCGGGCAGGAGTGACCAGGATGGTAGGGTCAGGGTGGCCCAGGGTGACAGAGGTGGGCAAAGACAGGGGCCTTGGGACCTGTCTCCGGCAGCTTGGCCCAGAGGGTGTTGGTGCTCCCCTCCCTCCTCCAACCAGAGGGGCTGGGGGATGGTGGGGCCTGGAAGACCCCCAGCAGCCTGGCTGAAGCCCTGGCCTGGAGGCGCAGCTGGGCTGCAAGGTGGACACAGGTGGGTGGGCACAGGTGAGGCGGGCACGGGTGACTGGGCACGGGTGAGGTGGGCACAGGTGAGGGGCACGGGCGAGGTGGGCACAGGTGAGGTGGGCACAAGTGGGGTGGGCACAGGCGAGGTAGGCACGGGGCACAGGTGGCCACCTCTGTGCACCAGGAGCCCCACAGAGGCTGTGTCTCAGGCAGGTCGGGGAGAGGGTCTCCAGGCGGGCCCAGGGCTGCACTGTCTCACCTGAGCATGGGTCTGACCTTTTCCTTCCCAGATCCAAACCTAGGCCCAGCCCAGGCCCACCTCTGCTGTGAGGAGCAAGAAGGTGGCCTCCAGCCCTGCCTCCCGCACCTTGGTACCCTCTGCACACACTGGCTCTGCCCCCAAACCCCTGCTCCCCAGAGCCCTCCCCACAGGCCAGGTGGATTCGTGGTTCACAGGAGACGCTCATGGGTCTCCCAAGGAAGGGCCCATCCACCCCTCCTCTTCCAGAAGGGTGCAGGCCCGGTGGGGAGGCGCGACCGTGCTGGGGTCCCCGGCTCTGCCCTCTGGGCTGTTGGGGGCCCAGGGCAGGACTTACGGTATGAGCAGCTCCAAGTCTGTGTGCAGGAATCCAGCCAGCAGGAGCAGTGTCAGGGCGACGAGGAGGAGGATGACCCGGAAGTACCTGTGGGCGGGGCACGCTGTGAGTGCCCAGGCCGGGCTGCACCAGTCCCACCCCTACCTCCCATCCCAGGTCACACAGGTCTGGGCCTCCCCTCATCTCTGTAACGTCTTGTCCTGAAACTCACTGGGTGCCCGCCCGGGGGTCGGGGGGGGTGACCTGGGCATGAATCTGACTCTACCTTGAACACCCTGCCCGGCTCAGGGCAGGAAAGAGCCTCGTGGATGACCCATCCCCTTCCCTGGGGTTTGCAAGCTGCCAGAGCCACACTACTGGGACCAGAGGTGGGAGCGGGTCAGGGGACCTCTGACTCCTCAGGGCCCCCTGGGAGACTGTGATGGGATGGAGACCCTGAGCTCAGCACCCCCAGGGGGGCTGGAGAGGCTGAGAGGTTGGTGCAATGGACTATGTGCCCCCAAAAGCCATAGGCCAAGCCCCTAACACCCAGCATGATGGTGCCTGGAGGTGAGGCCTCTGGGACATGGCCAGGGCTGGAGAAGGTTGTGAGGGAGGGTGGAGTCCCTGTAATGGGAGTCATGTCCTTGTAAGAAGAGGAAGAGACCAGAGAGTGGCTTCCTCTCCCCACTCTGGCTCCCCACATGGGGGCACAGCGAGAAGGCAGTGTCTGCAGGCCCACAGGAGGCCCGCCCCAGGAACCCACCCCACTGGCTGACTCCCACCCGCCGGCCTCCGGAACCGTGAGAAGCACATGTCTGCCGCTGAAGCCACCGTCTGTGGTGTCTGCTGTGGCAGCTGGGATGACTGAGCCCGGGGCCAGCATGATGTCTCGACAGAGGTGGGGCCCTCACAAGGAGGCCTCAGAAGGCCTGGCCTGGGTCCCAGGAACCTGGCAGGTGCAGCCAGATCAGGGAAGAGCAGATCTGGATGTGGCCTGCCCTGGGAGTCAGGTGGGGAGCCAGGGTCCCCCATCCTCTGGGCAAAGCCCCCCATCAGTAGAGAGCACCAAACGGGTCTCTCAATGATGGATTGGGGGTGCCACATGGGCTGTGTCTCCTCAATGATGAGGTGGGGGTGCCATGTGGACTATGCCCCCTCGATGGGGTGGGGGGTGCCACTTGGGGCCAGTTCAGGGCCACCAACAGCCCAGCTCCCCATGGGAACCACCCAGTAAGCATCTATCTCTGGCACCCAACCGCTGGTCAGGGCCACTCTGTTTCCCAGCCCCACCTGCTGTCCGACCCCACCCACTGGCCCTGCTCCATGCCTCCCCTCTCAGACAAGACCAGGGCTGGCCGTGCACCCCTCGGCCATCAGGGAGAGAACAGTGGGATGTGGGGAGGTGGGTGTGCCGGGCTCCACTCATGACAGTGGAATAATTAACTCTGGATGAGACAAATCTGTCTTCTGCAGAAGCAGACCGAGCAGGGCCCTGATTTGTGGTGACACATCCGTGGCCGGCCCAGGGAGGGCTCCCGCCCTGGTCCTTGGCAGCTTCCCTGCTGACCAGGATGCTCCAAGCCTGCTTTGCACGTTTCCTGGCCCAGGCCTGGAGTGAGCCACGTTTCCAAAGGGCCCTGGGTCCCGCTGGTAGGAAGCGGCCTTTGGGAATCACAGTCTGGGTGCTGGGGTGCTCACTGCCCAGAGAAGGCCACATGTCTGGGCCTTCTCCGTAGTCAGAGCTCAGAGCTACATGTCGGAAGACGGAACCCTCACGAGTCCACACCAGGAACCTCCAGCTCCAGTTCAACACTGCGGCTTTCAGCAGAACCTCTGTGTGTGACCTCTTGTCTCCTTTCTTCCACATCAAGGGTCTGGGTCTCAAAGACACTGGAGATGGCAGAACTAGGACCTCCTGTATTTCTCACCTGCTTCAGGCTCATGGCACACCCAGCACCTCAGATACCAATGCCGGCTCCCACCATGGCGCTCCCACAGCCACGCCTGTAGGCCCTGCAGACGGCACAGGAGTTTCCCCGCCCTCCGTTCACCTTCGCCCTACAATGCTCTTCAATGCCCCCTTCAGTCCTTACGGCAAAATGGGAACCACCTCGGAGAGGCTCCCAGCGGCCAACGCCCAGTAAACGTTAGAATCCCAGGTGCAGGGAGGCGAGTGGAGGGGCGGACAAGCAGAGAGGGCCACGCCCCCCCGCAGGGTCAGGGTCCCATGGGAGACAGACATCCTCGGGAGAAGGGACATGTTTCCCACACCCAAACGTGGCCCCACACGGAGTGGGGTTCCTGCCCTGCCGTTGAACCACTTCTGTGGACTTGCCAAGACCCTCCCAGGGAAAGCGACTGCACCGGGGTGGGAAGGGCAGTTTTACAGCTCCGCATAGAGTTTAGCCCACTGATAAGCCCACACAGGACTTCACCAGCCTGGCCTCTGAGACGCCTCCGCTGGCCATCCCTTCGTTCCGCCGTATTAAACTCCTTCCTCAAACACTCTGCAGTTTTATGGCCCCTCATGCACTTTTATACCCACTCTGCACTTTTATGGGACACACTGGCCATCTGTTAGAGGCGCTGCGTTCTCACTTACAATAACCCCCTCAGCCTTGGGGCGGCATGAACCTGTCTCTGTTCTCTGCAGCTGCCCAATTAAAACAATGATGTTTCCAAAATCTCACAGCTTTCTCAAGGCCGCTCTTCCCCGTCAACAGGGGTCAGGTAGGGTGGTCAGTGTTGGAGCAACCGGGAAGGGGGTGACCTGGGGGCCCCAGAGGTGAGCCCAGCCACAGGAGCACTTGACCGACCCAGAGGACCGTGGGGCAGGAAGTGGGTGATGTGTTCAGCCAAGCAGAGAGATGAGGCTTCTGTCCTTACACCCAGGAGTTCACAGTGTCACACTCTCCTTTAAGGAGAGCCTGTGGCTGCACTACTGTGAACTTACCAAAAACCACTGAACTGTGCACTTTAATTGGGTAAGTTCTTTGGTATGTGAATTGCATCTCAATAAGGCTGTTTACAAAATCAATTAAAAAATGATAAAGAGTTCAGCTGCTGCAAAATTTGAAAGCCGAGGCTTGCAGGGGAGGGAAATGAAATATTGCTAAAATGATAAACCATCTGACATTGCTTTCAAGTGTTTTTAGCTTCTAGTGGCTTCCTGAGGTCCCCAGGACCCTCCCCTCAAGCTGAAGCTGCCTTATGGGACTTGCGACTGTGGGGCCTGTGGCCAGGTCCTGCTGCCTTTGCTCCGAGGTTGCCGGAGAGCTCAGTGGATCCCAAAGAGCCTCAAACTTCCTGCTGTTGCAGCCTCGGGACTTGGAGGCCTGCTGCCTCCTTGGGAGCACCCAGAAGGTCTGGTTTTCCAACTCCGGGCAGGGCCATGAGGGGCCATGGTGCACAGGCCCCAGCAAGTGGCTCCAGCAAGTCCCTGAGGCTCCCCAAAAGAAAGAGCAGAGAGGCTGGGGAGGCACTGGCCCAGATCCAGTGGGGACAGCGGGGACAGTCCGAGGCGCCAGCCCAGGGCCTGCAAGCACACCCAGTGACCTGTAAGTGCCAGCAGGATGGCAGTTTGCAGGGTATTCAAGGAGAATCCTGCAACTTCTGAGTAAAAACCAACAGAATGTCTAAAATTAGGGGGTAATAAAAGTCTTGGCCAGATGTAGTGGCTCACACCTTTAATCCCAGCACTTCGGGGGCTGAGGTGGCAGGATCAGTTGAGTCAAGGAGTTCAAGACCAGCCTAGGGAATACAGTGAGACCCCCATCTCTACGAAAAACACAAACATTAGCCAGATGTGGGGGCTGGAGACTGTGGTTCCAGCTACTCGAGAGGCTGAAGCAGGAGGGTCACCTGAGCCAGGCAGGTCACCTGAGCCAGGCAGGTCACCTGAGCCAGGCAGGTCTGGGCTGCAGTGAGCCTTATCTCGCCACCGCACTCCAGCCCAGCGACAGAGCCAGACTGTCTCAAAAAGTAAACAAACAACAACAACAAACGCCTTAAGACATCCCATCTCCAGCTCAGGGAACTTCTGGTTTGGGAAACCTTTATGACTATGAGGAAAACCCATGGGAATTCTTATGGTGATGGTTGTTTGCACCCAGGATTAGACAAACAAATGTAAGAGGATGTCTTCCTTTCACATTTCACCCCATTTTCTTTTTCACATCTTTTGGAGAAAGCATTTTAGAAGAAAACGCATCTGTGGTCCCAGGTTTTGTCTGACCTCTCATGACTAGCATGGTTCACTCCTAGACGGACAGGTCCTGAGTTATCAGGAAAGCTCATTTTTAGCAGGTTGTGAAGTCTCATGTCCTATGAAGAGAAACAGGGGAAGGAAGAAAGAAAAACAACAACAAACCAAAGAACAATCCTGGAAAAATCCATATAGGCCACATGCTCTGAGGCCCATACGGCGGCAGGCAGGCATGAAAGTGGCTTGTGTGTGTAAACAGGCTGCCGATATTTTCTTCTCAGGTTTAAGTTGTCTGGCTTCAATTCGCAGGGCTTTATGAAAGCACAGCTTAGGTTTCAAATTAGGAAAAATGGGGGCGGGGTGGGCGCGGCAACTGCTACCTGTAACCCCGGCACATTGGGAGGCGCAGGCAGTGGATCACCTGAGGTCAGAAGTTTGAGACCAGCCTGGCCAACATAGTGAAACCCTATCTCTACTAAAATAATAAAAGTACAAAAAAAAAAAAGCTGGGTGTGGGAGCAGGTGCCTGTAATCCCAGCTAATCGGGAGGCTGACGCAGGAGAAGTGCTTGAACCCAGGAAGTAGAGACTGCAGTGAGCTGAGATCACTCCACTGCACTCCAGCCTGGGCGACAAAAGTGAAACTCCATCTTAGAAAAAAAGAAAAGAAAAATGGGGGGGTGAAGCAAAGGGAAAAATAGAAAACATTATTTTGAAGACTTGTAGCCAAGAAAAATTAGAATTTGGCCCAAGCTGTAGAAAAATAGTAAAAATTGAAAACACCGGGCAAGACCAACACTACAGTTTCAAAACACAACTTTTCTCTCTCCAGTTTCCCATTTTTACTAAAGACAAATCATGGTAGGATTGGTCTGCTTTATTAAACCTGGCCTAAT